GTGTGTGTGTGTGTGTGTGTGTGTGTGTATATATATATACACACATATATATACACATATACACACACACACACACATACACAAATATAAATATATACATACACACATACACAAATATAAATATATACATACACACATACACAAATATATAAATATACAGTATATATATATATATATATATATATATATTTGTGTATGTATGTGTTTATATATATAAACACTATATATAATGTGTGTGTGTGTGTTAATTATTTAAAAAGCCTTAAAATATTAAAAACAGGTGTCATTTTCTTAATGCAAAAACTGATTTTAACTTGATTTTTAAGGTGAAATGTTTGGTCCAGTGTTATTTTAGTATGACTGAGATACTATTATAGTTTTTATTTATATTTTGAATCAGTTTGTACTATTATAATTACTGTTTTCATTTAAATTTTATTTAGAGTTTTAATAATTTTGTGTGTTTTTGTCATTTTAGTAGTTTTTTAGTAGTTTTTTGTTATTATGAATGTTTTTTTTTCAGTTTTAGTTTTAGTTTTAGTTATTAGTTATCAAGTTCAACTAAATTAAAATGATAAATGTTGTTTTGGCAACTAACTAAACTAAAACGCTTTTTAAAGATTCTATTTTATTTCAGTTGACATTTATTTTATTTCAAATAATGAAACTTTTTAGCGGTTTTAATTTTAGCTTCAGTTTTAGTTAAAGCTGCAGTCTGTAATCTTTGGCGCTCTAGCGGTTAATAAACAGAACTGCGTGCGTCTTGCTGAAGAACATTGTAGCCGGAGCTACTTCTCTCTGTTAATGGCTATGGCGAATCACGCAGGACCACAGCGGTACCTACCCGAACCAGTCTAAATAGTCTGAATATAAACACTTATTATAGATGTACCGTAGTGATTCAGGACAAGCCAAAAACACGGTTTGGAAAATGGATTCATGGTGTACTCGCTTATTATATACATTTTGTAAATTTTGAACACAAAAAAGTTACGGACTGCAGCTTTAACTATAATTATAACCCTGATTTGGGCATATTGTTGACCATTTTATAACTGGTTTTACTTATTGTAATTTTTTTTTTTTTAAATATAATAACAAATGTGATATTTTGATGGTAACAATCCATTATGGTAACAAAATGACATATGCAGGTGTAAATACTGATATTCAATAGTGTAAATTAACATAAAATTAATATATATTAATTTTCAGGAACATTTAATGTTCTCTAGCTCTCAATAAATCTAACAGTTGACAAGCCATAAAATCCACATTCATTCCAGACAAAACTAAAGCTCATATTCAGGAATATGCTGGTGGTCTAGGCTACTCTACTCCTGGCACATAATTTGAGAACACCTCATAAATCAAACAGCAGAACATACACACATTCCCACCTCAGTGCTCTTTATGGCCGAGTGTACGTATACTTATAGCTCCTTAATGTAGATTCTAATAAAATACACACCTCCCCGTG